TTTTAGCTTGTCAATATCGGTAATTTGAGTTCCTAATTCGTATGAAACTATAGACTTAGTATTTTGACATCACAAACATCTAATTTGAACCCGTGATGCATTCAACATACCACGTGACACACACACAAATCAATGTTTAACTGTGTTTTTTAATATTTAGTTTAAAATTAAGAAATTGATTAAGGTATAATACTAAAATTTGTATCATAATCTACAGTTTGATACCAAACTTATTGATATAAATCGTGAAATAGTAGTTCAATAAAATTTTTAATGTGAATCAACAAACGAGATGACATGGCCTTTCACCGTGACCCGTCTGGAAAAGGTTAAGCAACTCTGAATCTATGCTTTTCTATTCATATCCAAAATAAGTGGTTTTTCAGGTGGCCACGTAACATTTAAAAATTCCTTTACACCAAATTGTTGAAGCTAGTTGAATCTGGAATAGTTTTAAAATAATTTCTAAGTTTGGATAGGTTGTGACATCTGTTGTACCTCATTAGCCTCTTCAACCATCATTTCCCTTGGTTTGTCACCAGCAGGTTTTGACAAATGTGTTTTTTTTTTGTTGTGACCATCATACTTCCAGTCATTCAATATAATGGAGTTGGATAATAACAGTCATACTGAATGCACTCAATCTTGCCCCCTCTTAAAGTTGGAGAGACCCTGCTCCTATTCATTGTTTTGCAGATTAACTTTGATATGACTACATCTCTGCATTTATAAGACTGAAGTAACTACTGGTCATATCACTTGATCAAACTGTTTTGCATATGAAAATGTGTTTTGGGGATGAGTATTATTAAAGAGGCCTGTCAGTGTAGGATACAATTATGTAATAACTTCTACAAGTCCACCAAATTTCTTAAATTAAAAATTACAATTAATAATAATTAGTCTTAATTTTGAGTAACTACTCTGTCTTAGGTCATTAGTTAAGTATACTCCCTCTTAGAAGTGTTTTTGTCTCTTTACCCAAGATCTAAACAGGTTGGGCCTGCTTAGTGAATTGCTAAGCACTTAAGGAGAATTATCACATGCAAAACATTAGGTAATAGGTATATCACATTTGGCCAATGCAGTTAATACTATTTAGGAACTTTAATGTTCTATGTTAAATCTATTTAATAAAATAAATATCTAAATTACATATTGAATTCATTACAGTTAATACTGTAACTTACAGAAACATGAGTAAACTTGCATCTTATTTAGTAGGTGGCAAGTTCTGCCTAGATGTCCACAGAACAATAGCACAGTTTATGTATATTATAACCTCTTGTGCACCTGTTCTACTTGTAATCCACTATAGCATATGAAGGTGACCTTGTTTATGAAGAGAACAATCCAAAGGTTACCAATCCTTAAAAGTTGACAGATAATTTAAAATAAGTTACCATATAATTTGAGGAAAATCTGGGATAACAGACATAGTTTTGGATTTCTGTGACATGGTAAATGCTTAGAATTATGTTGGAGTGGGTAAGGTTAGGATAAATGAAGTTACTTGTAACTTATAGCAACTTTGTTAAGTACGTTATCTTAGTGAGTCAGTGACCACACCCTAGTAAATTATTGGCCCATCATAACTTTTGTTGGAGTTGTTTATATTCTGTGTCGAGTATTTTAATTATGTGATTTATGTTTAGCGAACAACCACACCACGAAAAACAGTTGACTCAGAAGAACTTATGGCTAGAGTTGAGAAAATATAAGTTTGAAAGATAGAATGCATAAGCCTGTGTGTATATATATATATATATATATATATGGGTGTGTGTGTCTAGGATAAAAAATAATTTATATTCTGTATTGCATTTGCTAATTATGCAACTTATACTGAGTCTGATCACACCTTGGAAAACAACTGACCCAGCATAACTTATGTTAGAGTTGAATAAAATGATAGCCGTGAAAGATGGTATGGCTAGGTTTGTGTTAGATTATGTAAGGCAAAGATAAAGAAGGTTATGCAAGATGCATACCCATTATGTTAATTGAAATCTGTTTTCGTAATCTCCTTACTGAAGATTGTACAAAAAATGAAAAAATTTGTCGGTTATATATTTCAGTTAAAAATAAGTTGTTTTACCAGAAAATTAAAAAATGTGTAACTTGTTGAAAGAAGAACCTCTGCTGAAAAGTTTGTGATAGTGTTCTATAAAATCTTCCAAATTACAATAAATTTCTGCAAATTTGACAAGTTGTGATAGGTAAATATAAAGCATATTTTCTTTGCAATGTTTGTGTCATAAAAATAAAATATTCTGTTTTATTGTAAATCTTGAAGTAAAATGTTTGATTTATAACACTAATATTTAAATCAAGGCAGTGTGCTTCATTTGGAATTGTTGAACTTTATCAAGTGCTAGATTGTTTTAAGAAAATGTGATAGTTTTAGTACTACTATGTCATTGTTGTACCTGCATTCTCTGTTACTTTTAGACTTTATGGTAGTTTTTTTTTAGAAGTTGCATAGTGTAATGTTATTCAAGTTCAAAAAAGAAAGAACTCTGCTACTTGTAGACTGAACTTACCAGTCATTGATATGCCTTGCATCTGTTTAGAGATGTATGAGCCAAATCATATAATTATGTGGTTAAGTAGAAAATATTATGGCTTGATACTCATATACATTTACTTATGGTTATAGACCTCTAATTCTTTTATATATGTACTTACATATTTTCAATATTGTCCTGTGCAGATGTTAAAGTTTAACTTTTATTTCTCTTCTATGTTTCATCCAGTCCTTTGGACATCAAAATGGTACAACTAGGCAAAATATTAACACTGGTACCTATAATAGACATGTTGAAACATGCATCAGGGATACAGAGTTTACAATTTTTCCACCACCTAATCCAGCTACAAACCAACCTGTTGGACTGCCGTATGACAATGAAGTCACATTTGAACCTCTCCCAGAAATACATCCTAGAAGGCAAGACAACAAGACACTGCCTTTAAGTTGTCCGTATCTACCAGCTCATTTTACCTATGCAGTTACAAAAGGATTTTCTATTCATGACTGGTTTGGTACGTTTTTAGAGGATTGTTCTGTATATGTAAGTGATTTGGTAAATTTGTAGACAACACTTTATCCATCACTGCATTGTAAGTTCATCGGAGGTTCGTTGTTTTTGAATGGTGTAGTAAATTTATTGAATTTTCTCTGTCTGTATCTGATTTAGTAAGTTGTTAGTAGATTGTCTATACATGCCCAATCTGATAAGTTTATAAAATATTCTCTATTGATTTCTGATTTGATATTAAGGTTTGTAGAATATTCATTATCCACAACTGATTTGCATAGCTTGTACAGAATTCTTTATTGATGACTGAATTACTAAGTCTTTTCATGCAAAGTTAGCTGTCTTTTTCCTGTGTCAAATAAAAATATGGAAGAAATTTTAAGAAGTAATGCTCAAAGTTTTAAACAAAATACCTGATATGAAAAGAAAAGGAATAATTATGCTTAATGTTACCAGTATGGGCATATCTGACACATAAAATTAAAATACTAAACAAATGAAGGAAAAGAAGGATTTATAGGAATAAACTTTCTAATATACTAAAGTTGGTAAGAAAATATGTTCTGGTAATCATTACTTACCGATATAATAATAGTTTATTTTAGTTCTTCTTTTCAAGGGAGCTTTGCTTAGGTGTGAATTATTTTATTTATGCCCGTGTCTGCATATCTCATTAAGTTACAAGGTAAATTGTGTTTAACGTATTTACTCCTTGAATATAAAACTGTGTGCAATGGAAATATTAATAACTTTAAGAAGAGAAACTTGTGAGTCTGCAGACAGAACCAAAATGTGGGTGTGTGTTAATGAAAGCTGAGAAGGACTACAGGTCTAACCAGTGACACACAATTTTTTGCTGCTTATTTCTGTACTTAAATTTAGCTTGTTGATTAAATCAATTACAGGTATAAACAGCAGAAAATTGTGTGTCACTGGTTGGAACTGTAGTCTCTCATAACTCTCATTAATACTCACCCACACACACCTTATATATATATATATATATATATATATATA